TTTGTGGGAAGATTCTACTTCTACCAGTCCTTCATCACCTTAAACGAAATTGGGTGAATACATCTTATAAACCTACTATTCACGTTTCTTAAACTTACTCCTTGTGTTGCTGAATAATGGGGCTCTGTTAAGGTCTGGGTCTATCCAAGACTTGTCACGTCTGTCAATTTGCTGATTGATCTTCTTTAATAATAGTTGATTTATCATTTTTATTTTGACACCAACAAATTGAATCAGAGATACTTGTAACTTCTGTTAAATTTGTTCGCCTCTATAAATATTTACGTTCACTTAAGTTGTTTTTTTGTCATATTTACTGAATTAGAAAAATCTACTGATCCTTCATCGTTCTCAAAGTCTTGCAGCTCTAGTATGAGCTCTTTGGAGAGAACCACAACGGAGTCGATAAAGGCGCTGACTTTTGCGAATTCCTATATAAGGAAGACAGGTAAGCCCTCTTTTTAATAAGGCACATTGGCTATATCCTTTATTCAAGGAGTCCTTAGCTTATTAAATTCCCCAAATGTGGTAAATTAATGATAGAATTCGATGTCCTTCATACATTTATTCATCAAATTGATTCCTCATTTGCAAGTGGTAGAGTCCTATTAGCCCATTCTTCACTAGGTTCCGTAAATTTGTTTAATGTGATGACTGACAGTTGAATTACGAGATAAGTAGAGTATTCTGAGATTGTATTATCGAGGCAAGGCTAATCGAAATTAATTTATATCGTGAAGCCTTCTACTTGCTTCAATTAGGAACGTCATTTATCCATCTTAGCATCACCTTGAGCAGCCTGAGATTCAAGATATGAATATATTTATATTTAATACATACTATAGCGAAGTTTGGCTAATATCTTTCCTGGTCACAGCTTGATTTATCAAACTTTTTTGTTATTACCGTGATGCTTCTTAAACTAAGTGGTACCTCGATTTGTTGCTCGGTGACTTGGTTTTATAGATTAACTCTTCATATGCGTTTATTTGCCAAGGGGAATGCTCGAATTTTAAAAATATCCTAGCCTGTCCAAGCACTTTACGACTGAAGGATGCAATATTTATCTTCGGATTATTGCTGGCCCATTTTTCTTTTAAAATATTAAGACTGAAGGTCTTATTAGCCTTGCTCGGCTAGAGTTTGACATTTTTGGCCCGACTCAGGACTAGCTATTAAATAGCACATTGAATTTCGTTGTCTTTGTTTTATACTGTACCCGGTACTGCCATATAGCGTTGCTAGCTTGAAATTCCTATTCTCGTCTACAATGCAGGTAAGCAGCATATGAATTAAGTTTCGTTATGAGCAAATCAAAGTGGTACACATCCTGCTTTGATATCAAAGACCCGTTTCCTGGGTGCTGAAGTTGATTTGTGATGATGTTCCAACTCATCAAATATAGTAATATTGATTAATATTTTCAATTTGCTTTTAAACAACTAACATATAAGGAATACTAAAGCTTCTTTACCTTATTTTTAGATGAATTGTATGTATTTAGGTCCTTATCATAATTACTTATTTTCTATCGCCAAGTATAATCTTATTTGGAAACATTGGGTTAATTTTTTTCCTTATTCTTTCCGTTCCTATCGCACTTATCAATTTATTTATCTTATTATATTTAGATATCGATCCTACACCATCCCTTTGGGTTGGTACTGGTCTTGGGTCAATCCTCGTGCTCACTATCCTTCTTCCTCAGCCACGTAGAGCGTATCCCGCTTCCATCACCCTAACCGGTAACTATCCGAACCGCTTCTTATTTTACTATTTTCAATAGCACTATTATCCCAGCCTTTATAATTTCACCTTAGAACTCAATGATCAATGCAGCCTAGTGTGCATAATTTGTTTTATTTTCCTACTATC